GACCCGACTACCTATAGACTAGCATTGGGCATGCAATCATGTCTGCCTGAAAAACTGACAGACTGCCCGTGTTAAAGGGGCCTTAGTTGTAATAGATTTTCATGCTGCAAAATACGTTCGACCACAAAGTAAGATGTGCCTGGATCCATATATCACTGGTGAAGCAGGTTTCTTTCCATGTAACCAGTCAGCCCTACATGTTCAAGGTGTAACACCAATGACCAAAATGATACAGTAGTCACTGTAGTAGATAGTTTTAGCAGCGTGCAATAGGACAGCGTCCCCTAGCAATTCTAAACATAAATACTTATACAGTAAAGGGAAAAAAGACCACAAACCTAAGACAAATCAGAAGCAGGAAAGTACAAGCAGCATCAAATAATCTGCTATACAGCAGCATACGAGGCACCTTCACTAGTCAATATGTTATAGGTCAATCTGTGACCTCTTTGTGATGTAAATTGTGGTCAATGGGTCAGGATGCTCAGCTTATTCACAATGATGGATATGTGGATGCAAAAATAAATGTGCTTCCTTCCATGAAAAGCCTAACATATCCTATTAACGTCATTAAAACAATTACTCATACCTAAGGGAGACACAAGAAGTCATGGGAATTTAGTGTAAGCGGAATAATGAAAAAGATCATTCCAAAGTCTAAATCAGCCTTTTTTATGAAGAAGAATATTAAGAATAAAATAAAGCCAAGTATAATTAGTACTAAAACCTAAACCAAAAAAAAAAAAAAGATACCCGTACAGTATTTACTTCTGTTTGTGTGTCATTTGTTATCACCAGAGTGATATGGGTGGTAATCCCGTGATATGGGGGGTAATCCCGTCCACATCTGGCTGTTTCAGCAGTTAACATGTCAGCCACTGATGTGAGTCCCATGGATCAGAAACCAAGAGGGCTCATACCAAGAACAATGCTATGGGTTTATTAGAAGGCTTTGTCTCAGGACTACAGCATGTCAGAGATGGCAGATGTCCTAGACACTGCTAAAAAGACATCACTTAGCAATATACAAAACGTTATGCTATTTGTAGGCAATTCAATAGGAATAGTAAGGCTTAAAGCCCAACTCCAGCCCTTGCGCTCCCCATTTCCAGCAACTCCCCCTTTCATTTAAAAATCTTTATGTTTTTTTTGAGGTGTCTTTGTTCCAATTGTGTGACATCACAGGTCCTCTTCCTCTAGGTCTGTGAGTTCAGGGCAGCCTGATATTGAGCCTCCAGGGAAGGGGGGGAGGGGTAGTTTGGCCTAGAGATAGGCTTTAAATAAAATATGCCGTCACCAGTACCCAAGAAAAAAAAAGCAGTTTTCTACTTTCCTGTCCAGTGGCTGGTTTTCTCCTGTAGCAGAGCTCCCGATGCAATTGCACAATTCCAGGTTTGTGGTAGGGGTTGTCCTCTGCTGCTCCTTCCGGGACCTGCAAGTACTAGGGTTTGGCAGGAGGTACCACTGCTGCCAATGGGGGACATGTTATTCGATGCACCAGTATAGGTGCTGGGAACTTTGCTGAAACATTTCAGCAAAGGAGCTGCTGGACAGGCAAGTATAAAGCAGTTTTCTTCACAGGGTACTGCTCATTTTTAAGCCCCAACAGGGCGGCTTTAAGAAACTAGATTTGAGCACTTTAATAGAGATCTGTAACACTGGGGAAAGATGCCAATAAACAAGGTTTAGTACCAGTAAGGATCAGTCACTTTCTAAGCAGTAGCTCTTTGGTGACCAGAACACATGTTTATTGTATGTTAATCTTTTGTTTTTCTGTAGCCAGCATGTGGAGCTCTCAAGTCGTCTTCATGTGTCATCAACCTTTCACAGCCTGATTAAAAATGCTCATCACAGATCTCAACAATCTTCACTTTACATACAGATGTGGACAAATCTTCCCACTTACAGGCAGGCGCTATACTGCACTGAGAATTCTTTATCATATAGTAGATGGTTACTTGTGATGTACACACCAAATGGAAAATATCTGTTTAAACACATGAAAAAAAAAACTAAAATGAAAGTGATTCAAAAAATGTTTTCTTTTGGGGAGACACTGATCACAGGAGCCAACTGATATCTGAAGTAGTCAGAGCCTATAAGAGAAAATGGAAAAACTGGGGGCCCCCTCCTCCCCCCCTATCAACACAGGGACCCCCTTCTCCCCCATCAACACAGGGACACCTACACTCCCATCAACACAGGGACACCTACTCTGAAGTAGTCAGAGCCTATAAGAGAAAATGGAAAAACTGGGGGCCCCCTCCTCCCCTCTATCAACACAGGGACCCCCTTCTCCCCCATCAACACAGGGACACCTACACTCCCATGAACACAGGGACACCTACTCTCCCATGAACACAGGGACACCTACTCTTCCATGAACACAGGGACAGCTACTCTTCCATGAACACAGGGACACCTACTCTTCCATGAACACAGGGACAGCTACTCTTCCATGAACACAGGGACAGCTACTCTTCCATGAACACAGGGACAGCTACTCTTCCATGAACACAGGGACAGCTACTCTTCCATGAACACAGGGACAGCTACTCTTCCATGAACACAGGGACAGCTACTCTTCCATGAACACAGGGACAGCTACTCTTCCATGAACACAGGGACAGCTACTCTTCCATGAACACAGGGACAGCTACTCTTCCATGAACACAGGGACAGCTACTCTTCCATGAACACAGGGACAGCTACTCTTCCATGAACACAGGGACAGCTACTCTTCCATGAACACAGGGACAGCTACTCTTCCATGAACACAGGGACAGCTACTCTTCCATGAACACAGGGACAGCTACTCTTCCATGAACACAGGGACAGCTACTCTTCCATGAACACAGGGACAGCTACTCTTCCATGAACACAGGGACAGCTACTCTTCCATGAACACAGGGACAGCTACTCTTCCATGAACACAGGGACAGCTACTCTTCCATGAACACAGGGACAGCTACTCTTCCATGAACACAGGGACAGCTACTCTTCCATGAACACAGGGACAGCTACTCTTCCATGAACACAGGGACAGCTACTCTTCCATGAACACAGGGACAGCTACTCTTCCATGAACACAGGGACAGCTACTCTTCCATGAACACAGGGACAGCTACTCTTCCATGAACACAGGGACAGCTACTCTTCCATGAACACAGGGACAGCTACTCTTCCATGAACACAGGGACAGCTACTCTTCCATGAACACAGGGACAGCTACTCTTCCATGAACACAGGGACAGCTACTCTTCCATGAACACAGGGACAGCTACTCTTCCATGAACACAGGGACAGCTACTCTTCCATGAACACAGGGACAGCTACTCTTCCATGAACACAGGGACAGCTACTCTTCCATGAACACAGGGACAGCTACTCTTCCATGAACACAGGGACAGCTACTCTTCCATGAACACAGGGACAGCTACTCTTCCATGAACACAGGGACAGCTACTCTTCCATGAACACAGGGACAGCTACTCTTCCATGAACACAGGGACAGCTACTCTTCCATGAACACAGGGACAGCTACTCTTCCATGAACACAGGGACAGCTACTCTTCCATGAACACAGGGACAGCTACTCTTCCATGAACACAGGGACAGCTACTCTTCCATGAACACAGGGACAGCTACTCTTCCATGAACACAGGGACAGCTACTCTTCCATGAACACAGGGACAGCTACTCTTCCATGAACACAGGGACAGCTACTCTTCCATGAACACAGGGACAGCTACTCTTCCATGAACACAGGGACAGCTACTCTTCCATGAACACAGGGACAGCTACTCTTCCATGAACACAGGGACAGCTACTCTTCCATGAACACAGGGACAGCTACTCTTCCATGAACACAGGGACAGCTACTCTTCCATGAACACAGGGACAGCTACTCTTCCATGAACACAGGGACAGCTACTCTTCCATGAACACAGGGACAGCTACTCTTCCATGAACACAGGGACAGCTACTCTTCCATGAACACAGGGACAGCTACTCTTCCATGAACACAGGGACAGCTACTCTTCCATGAACACAGGGACAGCTACTCTTCCATGAACACAGGGACAGCTACTCTTCCATGAACACAGGGACAGCTACTCTTCCATGAACACAGGGACAGCTACTCTTCCATGAACACAGGGACAGCTACTCTTCCATGAACACAGGGACAGCTACTCTTCCATGAACACAGGGACAGCTACTCTTCCATGAACACAGGGACAGCTACTCTTCCATGAACACAGGGACAGCTACTCTTCCATGAACACAGGGACAGCTACTCTTCCATGAACACAGGGACAGCTACTCTTCCATGAACACAGGGACAGCTACTCTTCCATGAACACAGGGACAGCTACTCTTCCATGAACACAGGGACAGCTACTCTTCCATGAACACAGGGACAGCTACTCTTCCATGAACACAGGGACAGCTACTCTTCCATGAACACAGGGACAGCTACTCTTCCATGAACACAGGGACAGCTACTCTTCCATGAACACAGGGACAGCTACTCTTCCATGAACACAGGGACAGCTACTCTTCCATGAACACAGGGACAGCTACTCTTCCATGAACACAGGGACAGCTACTCTTCCATGAACACAGGGACAGCTACTCTTCCATGAACACAGGGACAGCTACTCTTCCATGAACACAGGGACAGCTACTCTTCCATGAACACAGGGACAGCTACTCTTCCATGAACACAGGGACAGCTACTCTTCCATGAACACAGGGACAGCTACTCTTCCATGAACACAGGGACAGCTACTCTTCCATGAACACAGGGACAGCTACTCTTCCATGAACACAGGGACACCTCCTCCCCCACCCCCCCCCCCCATCAACACAGGGACCCCTCCTCTCCCCCATACACACAGGGACCCCTCCTCCTATACACACCGGGCCCCCTCCTCTCCCCCATACACACCGGGACCCCCGCCTCCTCCTATACACACGGGGACCCCTCCTCTACGTACCGAGTCCTGAGGGCGTGCCAGGCCGCCTCGATGTCCGCATAGAGGTTCTTCTCGCTCGGCTTGCCGCTGCTTACCCCGTACCCGGAGTAGTCGTAGGAGAAGACGTTGCAGTTGATGCGGGAGCCCAGACCGATGTAGAAGCTGCACATCTGGCCCAGATCCACCGCATTGCCGTGTGAGAAGAGCAATGTGTATCGGCTACCTGGGGCGCAGCGGACGAACATACAGCCCAGGCAGGAGCCCCTCTCCGTCCTCCAGCGGAACACCTCCACCGCGTCTAGCTCCCGCTGTGAGTACTGCCAGTCCGCCCTCTCCGTCAGGTGCAGGCTACAGGGAGGAGGCAGGGAGGAGGCGGGCTCTCCCCCCTGCTCGTCCACCTGAGCCGGGGCCTGGCCCGCCGCCACCTCGGTTTCCCGCACCGTGTAGGTAGGCTCCGGTGG